TGCATGCATGCATGCATGCATGCATGCATGCATGCATGCATACATACATACATACAGACATACATACATACATACATACATACCTACATACATACCTACATACAGACATACATACAGACATAGATACACAGTCAGACATGCAAACAGTTAGACGGACAGAACAAACATTGGCTTGAATTAGAAGCATCAACAATCTATCATTCATCCAGAATAACATGACAGTAATCTTGTGCCTGGATGTATGTATGTAATGTAGTTATGTAATGCAATGATGTTTGTTGTGTCAGTGTGTGTGTGTGATGTGTGCCAGAACAACAAGTATGTATGTATGTATGTATGTATGTATGTATGTATGTAGGTATGTATGTATGTAGGTATGTATGTAGGTATGTATGTATGCATGTATGTCTGACTGACTGCACGAGTGGTATACATCATTCTGCTGCGCAGTATTTTTCACTACTACTTTCGTCTCGAGTCTGCTAGAAAGTGAGAGAGAAATAAGAGAGATAAGGAGATAAAAATAGAGTGAGAGAAATAAATGGAGAGAGAAAGAGAGAGGTAAAGTGACAGAAGTAGTGACAGATTAAGAGAAAGGGGGGAGAGTGTGTGTGTGAAAGATAGAAAATATATATTATTGATAAGGTAACTGACTTGAAAAAATTAAGTGGGAACGTGAGAAAGAGAAAGCAAAGAAAGAACAATAAAAATAAAATAGAAATATAGAGAGAGAGGGAGAGAGAGAGAAAGCGAGTGTATGCAGAAAATATAAATATTGAAAAAGTAAGATGAGTATGAGTCAGGAACAAAAAATTATTAAAAGTTGATATAAGCAAGAGACCGAAATACAGAGAGAGGAAGAGAGAGGGCGAGAGAGCGAGTATATGAAAGTGAGAAAATGAGAGAGAGAGGGAGAGAGAGGGAGAGAGATAGGGAGAGAGAGAGGGAGAGAGAGAGAGAGAGGGAGAGAGAGAGAGGGAAGACAGAAAAAAGGCCAAAGTATAAAATATCGAAGATTTGTTGTCAATGCCTTTTCACTGGGCCTATACTTAAGCTCGTATCATTTTATCATGAAAATACAGGAGAAAAGAGTTGGAAAAACTTAAAAAAGAACCTAAAAAATCGACATACACATATGCAACGTAAATGCTTCCATGTTATATATATTAATGAATGCGAAAGTCATTTCGAGCTTTTGACATTTCATTTAATGAAAACCAGAAAACCATTGCAAATGTCATTCTCTCACTCTCTTTTAAAAAGATCAATCCTAAAAAAGAAACCCTATAAAAGAAATCACTTTTTTTTCAATTCTTAATCTTTTCATCGTTGTTTTCTCATTAGAATTCCTCAGAAATATAATCGGACAACACCCAGACACACGCCAAAAATGAATTATATTTTAAATTTCTCTTGTGTATAATATGTATAATTATAATGGATGTATAATTATGTTCAACTAATTACTATTGAACATTTCATAAACAGATTTTTGTTGAATAGATAGACGTACCATAAAAAAAAATAAGCAAGAAATGATTTCTATAATGATACCTGCATCAAGATGATGATATCAAAGCTATCCTACGATTTTCATAGTAGTAATAGTTTTGCCAGCGCAAACAGCAACAGCAACCAAAACAACAAAAACAATAATGGTTGCTTCAACAACATCAACAATGCTATCAATAGCAAGTCTAGTATTAATGTCACTTACAGTGACGACAACAGCCACACACACACTGCTACTGCTGCTAGCGCTACTACCACTACTACTACTACTACAAACAACATCAACAAATATAGCATCAGCAGCACAATCAACAATATAAACAACAGCATTAGCAGTTATAATGTCAACAACAACAATAACAACAATAACGACAACAACAACAACAGCATCATCAACAACAACAACAATGTAACCATACACAACACGCGTCCTCGTCACCACCATCAGTACCATCACCAACAGCAACATCAACAACAACAACAGCATCATCATCACAACAACAACAATGACGAAGACTCAAGCTTAGATGATTATGAAGATGACGGTAAGAGGGAGAGGGTGCTTCTGAGACCCTGGCTCGAGAACCTCATCGAGTCTCAGGTGGTCCACGGGCTCGAATGGCTCGACCAGAAACAGCTCATATTCAAGGTTTTTGGTTTCTGCTTGTTTTCCGAAATATTAACGTCAATATAATTTGATATAATGATTTTAATAGTATCATATGTTATTATAGATTTTTTTTCACTTCTTTATTCATGAACGAACGAATGAATGAACTAACGAATGAATGAATGAATGAATGAACTGACGAATGAATGAATGAATGTACGAATACTTTAAAATTAATTATAAATAATAATAATATTTTTATAAATTTAATTGCAGACAGTTAACAATAAATAGAGCAATTTATTCAGCTCAGAAATATTTCATACACGCATATATATATACATACACAAACATACAAGCTAACAAACAAACAAACATACACACGTACACATCCCATAGCATATTCATGACCGTACATAAATGTATCTACATCTTCTACAATCATACATACATGCGTAAATATTCACATATATAAACAAACAAACACACACAAATATTCACATATATAAACAAACAAACAAACACACACAAATATTCACATTTACAAACAAACACACACAAACACACACACACACACACATACATTTATAAATGTTTATTCATAATTAGTTATTCTCAATAACTATTTCAACTTGAGATTCCATGGAAACATAGGTCGAAGAAGTCCTGGTCAGTTGAACATAGCAGTGTCTTTCTGGTAAGTTAATTCCGTCATTTATTATTATTGTTTTTATTCATTTGTTTATTTATTATTATTGATGTTATTAATGTTATTATTATTGCTGTTGTTGTTGTTGCTGCTGCTGTGGTGGTGGTGGTGGTTGTGGTGGTTTTCCTGTCTTTGATGATGATAATAATGATGTTGTTGATGTCACGATAAAAAAGATGTGATGGTGATAGCGGTAATAGTTTGTGATGATGAGGATGATGATAATGAATGATGGTAATGATGATGAAGGATGATGATGATGACGACGAAGACGATGCTGATAGTGATTAAGTTAAAATGACATGATGAGAATGATGAAAAGATGATGATGATGGT